CATGGTTAAAAATATACAAATATAATTAGTGTTTATAATGAGAAGCAGGTCACCTGAGCTATACTCTTCCCCTAGTTCCACGTCTCTGGGGTTGTCCCATTTTACTGTTTCTGCCTTTAGGTCTTCTGAAGGTTGTCAACATGGATTAAAACAATATGCCTGTATTATTGTTTCTTGTTTTATAAACTCAGATATTATGTGACTTCCTGCTAGGTTCGATAGAGTCGATTCAGTCATAATACTCTCTATTTTGTTCTCTCACCTTGCATTATTAATGAATCAGTGCCACTATTGGTCATCTCTGTAACTTCAAACATTTCATTTCTTAGCTCTTCAATCTAAGATAAAATCTCTTATAAGCTAATTCTCTTAGGGTCTCACTGTTTCCTCCAATTTTCTTTCTAGAACTTTTCTTTCTATAACTTTATAGAATGTCTCTCAATTTGAGTTTGTCTGATGTTTCTCATGGTTAGATTGAAGTTATGCATTTTAAAGAACATCACACAGGTGATGGACCCCTCTCAGTGCAACAGAGCAGGGGGCACATGATGTTAATATGTCTTATTACTGGTAGAATTAGCCTTAATTATCTTGCTAAGGTGGTTTCTGAGGCTGCTTCACTTTAAATTACTACTTTTCCTTTCTAATAATCAACATTTGAAAGGAGATTCTTTGAAACTATGTGAATATCCTATTTCTCCTTAAATTTTCACTCACTAATTTTAGCATTAATTGGTGGACCTTGCCTATAACAATTATTATTCTGGTGTTCTCATAGTCATTTTTGTTTTCCTCCATTTTTTTTTTTTTTTACATTTATTAATTGGATTCTCCTACAAAGAATAGTTCTCTCTTCTCCATCACTTATTATATTTAATCATTTATTTATATCAGTATGGAATTGTAGATATTTACTTTATTTTTAAAATTATTATCTAATACTCTCTTTTTACTGCTAAATTTTTTCCAACTTTGACCATTGAGCTCCTTTATCTTTTAGATTGATTTCTGTCATTTTGACATTTGTGTATTTTTTTCAGCACTTCATTACTTTCTGGCAACACGATGCTCCAGGCTTATTTTGTATTTTTTTTTTTCCCCTGGCCTTGAAATCGATTACATCTTCAAGGAACCCTGGTTCCTGTTAAGAATGGTACTTACAAACCACTATCTGGACACTAGTTGTGTTCATTGCTATTGTCACTACTTCTAGGTCCTATCAGTAGGTTAATATATAGATACATATACATTTATCTATCTATCTATCTATCTATCTATCTATCTATCTATCTATCTATCTATCAATCATCTATCTACCTATCTAATCTGCATGATTCATAACGATACCTCTGATCTAATCCAGCTCTTCAAGGTTAATGCTAGCATTCCTTGTTTGCTTATTTATAACTTTTTTCCCCTCTGAATGAGAAACCTGTTGTTCATATCTAAAATGTATATACTTATTCTCTCAACCTTAGTATTCAGTTTCAGAATTCTAACCCACACTCTTCTGAGGAAAAAACTGCTCAATTAGATTACGATGTTTTGTACAATCCTTTTGTTTTTAGCCTTACAATATTTTCCAAAGTTACTTACGTCAGCTCTTTTCTTTACCAACCTCTGTAGTGAGATCATGCCATTCTGTATAATACAGTTTGATTCATTTGTCACAGTCTGCATTCCATCTTGGCTTCCATCCACATCTGGTTGCTTTTTAAAAACCTGCTTACAGTAAAATTCTTCTTTTGTGGTGTATCATTCTAGGGTTTTGACAAATGCATGGAGCCATGTATTTGCCACCACAGTATCACACAGTGTAGTGACATCACTCTCCAAATTCAGTTGTTCTATCTCTTTGTAGTCAAATTCTCCCTCCACAAAACTGGCAACAATTGATCTGGTTTTGATCCCCATAATTTTCCCATTGCTAGAATATCATGTAAATGAAATCACATAATATATAATTTTTTAAAAATTGCCTATAGCTCTTGGTATTCCTAGGTAGTCTCCCATCCAAGTACTAAACAGGCCCAACCCTACTTAGCTTCTGAGATCAGATGAGATTGGGTGTGTTCAGGGTAGCATAGCCATAGACAATATATAATCTTTTATGTCTGGCCTCTTTCACGTAGAGAGCTGCACTTAAGATTCATTCATGTTGTCATGCAAAACAATCATTCTTTATTTTTTATTTCTGAGTAGTATTTCATTGTATGGGCTCTTCAGAGTTCCTTTATCAATTCACCTGTTGAAAAAAAATCTCAGTTGTTTCCAGTTGATACTTATGAATAAAGCTAATATAAAACATTCAAGAACATGTATTTGTGTAAATATGGTTTTTATTTTATTTGTATAATCACATAGGAGTGAGAGTGTTGGATCTTATGGTAAATGTATATTTAACTCCGTAAAACGACAAATCTATTTTCTAAAGTTTCTGTACCATGTTACATTTCTGCCAACAATGTGTGAGTTCTATTTGCTTTGTGTCCTCATCAGCATTTGATAGTGTCAGATTTATAATTTTAGCCATTTTAATAAGTATGTATTGCTATCTCATTGTGGCTTTAATTACATTTTACTAATGACTAATAATGTTGAACATCTTTTCATGTTCTTTTTTTATTTGCATTTATGCATCTCCTTTGGTGAAAGGTCAAAAAGCAAACCAGAACAAAACTACAATTTTCTAAATTTGCACTATCCAACAGGAAACTGAAAACAAAAAGGTAAACATGAATTGTTTCAAAATAATTAAAAATGAAAAAAATTCCTTATATTTTTATATATTACATTTCCAATATGCCTCATTTCTTTGTGAAGATCCAAGTTTCTATCTGGTATCATATTTATTCTGTCTGAAGAACTTTATTTAACATTTATTGTAGAGTAAGTCTACTGATAATAAGTTCTCACTTTCTTTTTTTGAGAAAATATATTTATAGTGCTATACTGTATTTATAGATATTGTAAGTTTATATAATCTGGTTACAAGATGAATCATCTGTCTGTCAGTACCTATATCAATATTGTCTTATATGATACAAAACACTGTAGATGTTATATGTATTACTAACACTAGACATCAAAAATAAAAAGATAATGTGAAAAAGAAATTCATATTTATTTGCAGGTATAACAATTCAGGCATCAATAATGAAGAAACAGCAATATGATTAATTTATGGTAGCCTAGTGTAATTGATATGATTATTTCATGGTAAGAAGGAAATCTCCAAAAAAATTTTTCAATATATTTATTTCTAAAAATCCACATATAAGTGAACCTGCATGGTTCAAACCTGTTTTGTTCAAGGGTCAACTAACTGTAGTTGCAACAGAGACAGTCTGGCCTACAAAGCCTAAAAGATTTACAGAAAAAGCTTGTCAGTCGTCTGTTAAAAAGATATATGGAGGTATTTATAGGTGAAAGATATAATATTTGAAATTTCCTTTAACATAATCTGGCAAAACAAACAAGGTTGGTGGAAGATAGCTGAAACAAGGTTAAAAAACATTCATAATTCTTGAAACAGATGGTGACTATGTAGGTCTTAATTAGCCATTCCCTCTGCTTTTGGTACATTTAAAAAATTCTATAATCAACTGTTAAAAACAAATTATCTTATGTATTCTTTGTGCACATGCAAGTCCTGGGATTGAAATTTTGTAGTTTTGATTTGTTAAGCCAGCAGAGGGAGAAGAAAAGTTGAAGGCAGATGTTATTTGTTGGGAACCTACTATAGAACCAACGTTGTCCTAAGTGCTTGATAAATTTCATTTAAAAAACATTCTTTTTAACAACTTCTTGAGGTGGGTATTATGATTCATGGTTTATGAATGAAAGATCAGGAGCTTAGAGACATTAATTAATTCACATCCAGAAAAGAGCGGTGTGGAATTTGACCCTTATATGGGTCCCATTCTTCTTCACTGTCTCCACTGGTATCACATATCTGCATTGCTAAGTGGACAAGCTGAGGCCACCCATTTGTTTAAAGGTCAAGAAATGTTTCACAACCACGTAGATTCTATAATAGAAGATAAATGTGAGCCCTCAGTTGAGAAGTTGTTTTAGCAATGCCTCTTAACATTAAAGATGATTTTGAGTTTTCCTGGTTGCTCTTCGAGTTGCTAAGTTTGTCTGCTGTCAAGAATGTTGTTTCGTACCCAAATCCACTTATCTCTTTACATTTCTCTCTCCTCTATAAAATTCAAAGCTCAGAAAGATCATGTTTCCATAATTCCAACACCAAACCCAGTTCCTAGAATAAGAAGAGATGCTCAATGCATGTTTACTAAATGAATGACCAAGAACTTTCACATCACGACCTCATCCTCATGCAAAAAGCCTGAGGCACAGATTATAAACCTCCAGATTCCAAATGAGGACTCTTGCTGCATATCAAGTTCTCAACCTGTATATCAGGAGATAATTTATTAGTTTTCAATTTTCTGCTTTTCCAGGTGATAGAGAAGACATACATGTTTCTCAATCTCTGGAGCGGTTTTCAGAGCAGAGGCCTGGATGGGGAGTAATGTTTTTGAAGTAGTTGTTTTCATTCTGAGGGGTAGTGCCAGAAGTGTTAACTGCTTGTCTTGCCTTTGCTGATTCTAGTCTACTCAACACCAATTGACTTTCACCATCTCTCCAGAAATTTCAAGCAACTGAGTTATACTGGGTACCATAAAAAGGGGCAGGAGATGGCTGCCAGATGGTGGGAAGGGGATATTTGACTTTACAGGTAAACAGGATTTGACTTTATTCCTGACCCGAGAGAGCCGCAGGCTTTGCCTCCCACGGTAGAGGGCTAGGCAGAAGATCCTCTTATGCACAGCAGGCGATGCTGAACATCAAGATTCTTGGCCCTGAGCAGAAGTGCTAGCCATGCCCTGCTTCTATGTGGGGGAGTTTAGTCAGCTTTTAAGCGAGCACAAGATGGCAGCTAGTGCATTTCAGGAAAATGGTTGGAAAAGGTGGAAACACATACACAGACTCAGTACACTTTTAACTTTTATTCCTAACTAATATATAGCATATTTTCTTCAAAAAAAATTATAATTTAATGGAGACAAAGTACTTAACATATAATTGTGACAATTTAAAAAATCCTATCATGAATACAGAGAAAAAAGAGCCAATAAATGAAACAAAACAAAAACAAAATAAATGAATTGAGAACAAAATCTCCTCAACTTCGAGATAATACATTCATTTCTCTTTCTTAGCTTGACGTTCCCTAGAGCAACTGTTGAGATGAGGCTCCAGAGAAAAAGATAATTTACTTTTCCAGAATGTTCTATAATATTTCTTCAAAATGTTACAAACAGGGCAGCCAAGGCTCAGTAGAATGCATCTGACTCTTCTTCTGTCCCACTGAGGTCTCAGGGAAACGGAGATGTTCAAGAACCTTGAGGTGCTGCCTAAGTGTGGCTGTACTTCATTTACCTGAGTTCTTGGATCTCATTTAGGTTTAAAAATGGGTGCTCTCCTTGTCTGTTGTGTTCAATTGCATGTATTCCAGAGTGCCTTTTTTGTAGCTAGCTACCCGTGTAGGTTTTCGGCTCTTTATTCCTGCAGCCTGTCTTTTCTGTAAAGAGTTGGCAATCATATCTGAAAATTCAGCTTGCAAACGCTGTTGATTCTCCCTGGAAAGTGAATGAGAGGGGAAATGGAACTTCTCAGCAATTCATACAAAATATTCCTTAGCTCCAGAACAATCAGTTTACCAAATACTTATGGAGGGCTGCTTCTGTGCTAAACACAGGAAGTCCAGAGAATACAAAAATGAGCCTTGCCTTGGATGAGCTAAAAGGACTGTCATCCTGCTCTGTGTAGTTGTAGAAAAAGCAGAATATATTTCAAGCAAAAAATTATATTTCAATTTCAAAGTGAAACGCCATGCTGCCGGAATTTGGAAGTGCTTTTGAATTTACATATGCCACTGCAAGGAGGGGAAAGAAGCCAGCACAATGCTAGGCCCCCGTAACACAACCCTGAAAACTTGGTCTCACACATTCCTGGGAGTATAGATCTTGCTTGGGGAGGATTCAGAATGGATGGAGTGTTTCAAGAGTTTGGAATGGGCCTGGGGCACTCCTGGTAGGGGACCCAGTTCCCCGTGCACCTGAAAAGATCTGGGTTGTTTTGACATCTCTAAAGGTTTGCCATCTTTTGAGGTCCAGGATCTAGGAGTCTGCAAGACAGGGTTTCTCTACCATAGCAAAAGCCACGGCAACAGCCACATGACTGATTATAGCAACAAATGTGCAACTGGATAATCATTTGAATCACCTTCAGGGGAACTGAAACTTGTCAGTTAAACCCAAAACCTTGTCTTCCTCATCTCAGGGAGAACACAGACTCCATGGGTAAACCCAGAACCACAGTCCTGGAGCTGAGGGAGGTCCCGTTTTCACCAGGTGGCCCAGCAGAGAGCTGTAGGCAAGGATGGAAATACGTTTTTTGCCTCTAGCATGATCTACTCTCAGAACCAGACATGCAAGAAATGAGCTCTCAACTGTCCACTGTTCCCCTGAGCATGCCTGAAACGCCCAGTTTCTAGCAGCCAGAGAAGGGAGATTTCTAAACTTCTCACGTGTGTAGTCCTTGGCCTTGTACTCAATGTCATTGCCGCTGGCAAAGCACTTGCCAATAATTAAATTGGCTGTATGTAGCACAACCTACAAAGCCAACCTCCACTCCCTTGTACTTCCCCACCACACCCAGCAGCTTACACAGTAGGAGGGGTTGGCAGGTTGTACTCCTGGTCCTTGACCCCGGTCAGCCAGTAGGTGGTTTCAGTTCCTCTTCCCTAGTGAGACAAGAAAGGTGCGGGTACACAAGAAGGCCCATGAGACAGTTCAGTTCTAGCCCACCGCTGGGACAAGTGTCCTTTTCCAAGACACTTCCACCTGCGCGTTTCTCATCAGTGCCCATGTTTCGGTATAGCTCACACTCTGGATATGAGTCACATTATCTCTAGACAAATCTCTATTTCCAAGTGCCTTTTTAAAAATAAGGCTCTCATTCACCAGACATCATGTTTTTTTTTCAAAGTAGAGTTTTCTTTTTCCCCAAAAGACATTTCAAAATATCACTATAGCAACATTACAAGAACTCTAAATGCAAAAGGAAGAAAATTCATCGACAGTCCTGCTCCTCCAACAAATCCAACCAATTTTCATTGTCCATATTTTCTTCCAGCCCTTTTTGCCACGAAGTTTGTCACAAAACTTTGCCACTGTTTCCTCGACCTTAAGTGTGTAAAATATAAACACATGTGCATCATAATAAACACTCATTAAGCGATGTTTGCTGAGCTCGTCTGGAGGCTATAAAATCAATGGAAACTTACTGGAAATCCTGTTTCTACAGAGCTAGTATTTGAAAAGGAGACTAGATGGTCATATTTTTTTTTTAAAAATCGCTGTTTTTAAAATCATGGTTTTTTGGCTGTGCTCGAACTGTAATAATTCGTAAACCACTTCTATTTTGGGAAAAATACTCTGTGCAGACAATGTATTTATGGAAGATTGAAAAAGCAAGTGTGGTGTTAGCACCCTGCTACATGGAAGGGGGCTTTTCCAAGTGGCAATCACAGCGTAAAGGCCAGAAGCACTACGGCTACTGGGACAGATAATCTTACAGTCAGTAAGATTATCAGCTGACTTCAGATTAACAGTTGGTTTCAGATCAATGGTGAAAAGATTGTAATGACCTTCGAAAAGCAGCCTGAGAGCCAAGTGGAGACATCTGGTGGCTGTGAAGGGCAGCTGTTCTAAATGCAAAGAACAGCATGGAGAGTCTAGGGCAGTGATTCTCCAACTTCAGTGAGCATCAAAATCACTTTGAGTACTTGTCAAAACTATAGATCCTGATCTACACCCACAGAGAGTCTGAGTCAGTAAGGCTGGTGGAGAGTCTAGGCATCTGCATTTTAACCAGTACTCAGACGATGCTGAGTCAGAAGTCTAGGGCCATTCCTCACGATTTTCTGGTCCGGAGCTTTAGAATGATAAAGCAACTGGCAAGAGAGGTGGCCTTAGAGAGTGGCAGCATCTTGCAGTAAGAGCAAGGATGTAAAGAGATGGGGACTCTGACTTAAGTTAGTCCTGAACCAGATTGAAGCTCTGGGATATGGAGGAATTGGGGGCAAAATCTGGATACATGTGGAAAAAATGGTGGCAGCATTTTATAACATAGTGGTCATAATTCAAAATACCAAAAGGGCTCTTTGAAGTAAAGTTCTGAGTTCTTCACATTCTTTAGTGATGGCTTCTCCTGCAGGGGAGAGCGGGTGATCATCGTAGGATAGCAAGTGATCAGTGTAGAAGGTACAGAAAAGAATCCTTCATCTCATGCTCCTTAATATTACTGACCACTGGTGGCCCACGGGAGCTGCTGAGTGCTTTTTCTGGGTACTGTCTCTGTGGAGCCCTTACCTTTAAGTATGTTTCCCCTCTCACTTCATACAGGAACTGGCACTCGGTCCTCTTCAGGATGGCTATTGTGGAGCCACTCGCATGAATTCTCAAGGCTGGAAATGCAAAATAGATCAATGAAAGTCTTGTCTATTTTGAAATCTTTTCTATGGCCACATTTGTTTCTCCTTGATTCACGACATTTATTTCTGGTGTTCTTGACAGCTTAGATATTTTAGTGAAAGAACACTTAAAAATATAATCAATATAGAGTTTTTTTTTGTGCACAACAAATACTTATATTTTTCTTTACTAAAACCAATTCTCAGGATTGGGAATAAAAGACAAATAAGAAAGTGATCCAAGGTGTATGCTCCATACCTAGTCCACTGAATTTTTTTTAACTTACATGGATCTATGCTAAATTTCATGACTATTCCAGGTAGAACATGCCTGAATGCGTTGCAAATGAACCAAAACCAATAAAAATAGTCTAAAACAGAGCCAAAGGGAAGAACAAAATAATTATCAGTAAACGGCAACAACAAAAACAAATGTAGCAAGGACTGAACTGCCACAGGCTCATGTTCGGTCAATGTGAAGGGTCATTCTTCACCTCGCTGGCACTTATTGTGCATTTTACCCTACAATTCCCTCTTTGGAAGGCAGAATCTTTGTTCTCTAAGAAAGACGATCTCCCTTCTTACGGAGGCCAGTGGATTCCATTCTAGAGGCTGTGTTGACGGTATCTCCAAATAGGCAATAACGAGGCATCTTGATCCCTACAACTCCAGCAGCACAGGGACCTGCAACAGGCAGAAAGCAGAAGTGGAGGCAACAGAAATCGCAGAGAGGAGTTAAGGTGGGTCAGCCTCTTCTCAGGGTCATGAGGCTGAATGCTTTACTTTATGGAGAAGCATCTGAGGGTGTTAAAAGTGAGCTCTGCTTTAAAGTATTCAGTGAGGGAAGCATCATTATTCAATGCATGCTTTCAGAAAGTAAGTTGCTCTCGCACAGAAAAGAACATTTGCACAAAACAAGAAAGCATCAGAGATCTGGGCTGCAAAGGTGGGAAGTCATCCCTAATATTCTAAATAGAAGCTCTCAGGAAGGATGAAGACCATCCCACCGCTTGCTTACTATGATGAGCCATACAGCCCCGAGCTCTGAACTTCTGGATGGCCAGTGACTCGAAGTGTCAGTGGCCCAAGTTTGTTTTATTTAATTTTTGTTTAAGGCAGAGTAGCATTTCTGGGATTGGTGGCATGATGATGGAAGGCCCAGGAGACAAGCACGTGACATAATCTTCCCTGAGCATTTCATGCACCTTTGAATGCAATGGGATGGGGGTGGGGGTGGGGGAGGAACAAAGTCAAGGTAAATATGCCTAATGGCATATTAGGTGGGGAGAAAAGGTGGTTTAATCAAGTATTTGTGTAGAATGACTGAATGCAAGGAGTTGCAGATTTTAGAAGTTAAAGATTAACTCAGCAAACTGGAAAGCCAGGTTTTGGAGAGAGGTAACTATTGATTTTCCAATTAGCTTATGGGGTTTTTGATCTATATGAGTGTCTTTATAGATTTAATCTACGAATACTTTGTGTTTACGAACACTGAAAAAAATCAAAATACCGGATGTTTCCCCGAGTGCTGAACCCTTCCCTGTTAGGTTCAATGCAAAACAATACAAAATTAACAAAAAAGAAACACATACACACACAAAAACAATCAATCAAAAGCAGAAAAAATCCTACAGAAGGGAAGACAGTAGCAGTAGCTACTTGATCAGAAGATATCTGGTCTGTGCCTTAGGTCTAATCACAAGTGACTTTTCATTTTAAAAATAGAGTAAAAAAGCTAGGAAGGGCCTGGAAATAGAAAATCCCTGAAGATATTGTCTTGTTTCTCCCCACCAATATTTAACTGCAACCTTTTAATTTCTTAGGGCTAAATTCTAAGGTAATACCTAGATATAAGGTATGTGTGCCAAATATCTACTCGCATTCCAGCCCAATATGGCAGCACTTGGGCCCTGGTGGTCAGCTCAGGCATTGAGTAGCTCACAGGGGAAAAGAGACTGGGCCAGGACCCAGAGCTCCATTCTCTCCGACTTGGTTCAGTCAGACCTGCTGCTGTCCCTTCCTCCAGGCCTGATAATTCTATGGGTCAGAAAGGAGACAGTATGCTGTTGCTGGCTAGGGAGGTGCTCAGGAAATTCCCTCATGTGTATATGAAAACGTTATGACATTTGGCTGTGGACACGATTGGGGAAGGCTATCTCTACGTTCCTGGCTATCAAAGATGTGGCAGCAAATTTTTAACTTCTATTTATTATCACTTAGAGAATCTCACTGATTGATTACTCAATAAATATTTAGTGCCAGGCTCTGTGCTAGGCACTGTGGATACAGGATGACTTTTGCAAATGCAGTTGTCTGGTCCTTGCCACAAAGCCTGGAGTGATCTCTTGGGTTTTCTGTACTCTGAGTCTTCTGTGAGACTTGGATGACATAAAAAGGAGCAATGACAAAAAATTATGGAAAGATGCAATTTAATTTAACATAGGGAAAGGCCATCTAACAATTAAAATTATTCAATAATGGAATGCGTTGGCTTTGAAAATGGTGAGTTTTCAGGGAATCCTGAGATTATTCTAAAAGTGGCTATATTATTATCTTAGAACCTAAAAGATAATTTATGCCCTGTAAAGGATTAATCTAGATGACTCACGAGTTCATCTCCAACTATATTTGTAAAACATTTCAAATCTCTGCATTCAAGGTTGGGTAACTGTCACAGTCTTTGAAGTAACCCAGGTTCAGAAAATACCTGGGTCACATGAGGGGGGTGGGAGGAATATAAATGCCCATTTATTATAGGAATTTGAACAGCTATTTCCGACCCCCCCCCCACATAGATAAACTAATCCATTTAAGATACTATAATATTTTAGTGGAAAAAAATACAAAAGATTGGGGTGGGGGAGTGGGAGGGAATAGGGGGAAGATAAATGAAACAGTAAATACAATGATTTAAATAGGAAATCTATTGGTTGCTATTTTGGCACATGGTTGATGTTTATCATTCCAAGAGTCAAAGGTGCAATCAAAGGTGTTGTTTTCTAGAATTCTCTAGGGACTGGGTCTAATTATGTCAAGATATGTAATGGGATCTAATTTTTGGAAGACAGATTTATGAGTAAACCTCACGTGGATGCTGATCACATTTGAAGACCCTTTATCCTTTCTTATTGAGCTGGTGCACAGTGGTACACATGGTTCCCAATTGCTACAATGCCGAACTCCATACCAGAGTGAATTCCAATGCGAATCCATATTGGGAGTCCAGGAAGATGCTCCAGCTCGAAGGTCCCCATGAAGCTAAGGATATCCAAGGCCATCCTGGCAATGTCTACAGCATGCCGATTGCCATTTCTCTTAGGCAAACCACTAGCTACCATGTAAGCATCACCAATGGTTTCCACCTGTGGAGACAATTTCTCATCAGTGAATTTGCTCCTTCAAAAGGCACAAGAAATTAATCAGAAGCAATTAATCACATAACAAATACAAAAGTTTTTGAGAACTCAGTATGAGCACGGTCCTGTAGACATTTTCTGAGACCAGTTTAAGACCAGTTCTACACTAATTTCTTCAGGGTTTTTATAGTCTAGTTAAATGGATGACTATAAAGGACTGTAGCCATATGAAAGTACTTCATAATAATATAAATCATCCAGATGTGGTGGCAATTCTATAAATGTTTAAATAATCTGAAAAGTTTTATATCATTTTAGGAATGGCATTAATTACCAGAAAAGTCATCTTCAGCATTTACCATCTTTTCATATACTATTTGAAAAACAAAAATTGTAGTTTCCTCCAAGACACATTTTTGTAGTATGATGATTACAAATGCTTTTCTTGTAATACGTAGTAGATTTATATTAACAGTATTCTATAAACATTATTCTTTGATAAATGTCCTCACTTTAAATTTTATTTTCATAATCATATGCATAGTTCATATTTTTTGGTCAGCTAACTTCTTTTTGCCAACTATTTCTAAAACACATAATCATTTTCTTTCCTACAAGAACTCTTTTTAATATGGTTTTCTGACCTACACAGGGTGAGTACTGGTCTAAGACAAACTCTGAAAGGGAAGTCCTCTGTGTGAGAATAACCATTATGAGTGACTTCTAAACTTTATGAAGGACACAGTGTTTCAGGCATATTATTTATCTCAGTAACCTTCACAATAACCCATTGAGTTAGTATTATTATCATCCCATTTTACAGATAGGCAAACTGAGACTTGACAAAATTAAATGCTTTATGAGCTCACACAGTTAGGTAGGGGCAAATTGGGATTTGAATGAAGAGCTTTACTTTTAAAATTATGTGTTCCATATGCTCTGTTGCTTTTCTAACATGAAAATGTGGGAATTCTCCTTTACTCTTAGGACTCAGACATTATTAGCCCAGAACTGCTTAGCTCTCTAGTCAGGTAATAGAACTTTTAGAATGTTCTGAACTTTTAGAATGTTATCCCTGTCCTTCTTTAGTCTTTTTTGAATGATGCTTGCTATTCAACAACAACAACAACAACAACAACAACAAGATATTCCTATTCCACTTATTATAACTCTGGTGCCTTCTCTGTTTTATTTGCAATCAGCCTAAACACTATTTATTGTTTGAAGATGATTTGAGAGTACCCCAAATTTAGT